GTTTTATTAAATTTAGTTTACAATTCCTATTACCGATCTTTATTTAATGTTTAAATGAGAAGTCAGTGTTTCATTGGAGGACTAACTCAACTTAAACTAAATTTTTGGATATTCTAGCGGTTTCTTACTTAAACTTACTTATTTATAAAATTGCTCAACTTACATTTTTGTGTTAGATATATAAATCTTACAGTGTTCTAATCACAGATACAGATGATAAACTAGATTGTTAACTGGCCTATATGGCCTGTGTTCACCGGTGAATCCAATTAGCATTTTAATATCATATATCTTGTATACAAATTATTTTGTTATGAGAAAGAAAAAGTTGTTGATAACAAAAATGTTTGTATACAAAGTATAGAAAAAAAATGTTTGGCCTCAAAAAAGATGGTGACTACTATTTGTTATGATATAAAAATGCTAGGAACGCTACTTTTTAATAGTAGCTAGAGTACCTTTACAATTATTTTTCCTCAAGTTAAGCACTTTTAAGATTTTGTACTAACAAACTATTACATAATACATATTCAAATACTTTTTCTTAGTACTATAAAGAATTAAACCTTGTAAGTCATCTGGTTTTTTTGTTTGGTCATATGTTTCTTGCTATGTATATTTCTATAAGTTATGTTTGTGTAATATTTAATGTACTCTGTCAAGATTTGAATGAGGAATTCTTATTGTAAACGGTCACGTGGAAAAGTCTATACATGTACATAACGCAATATTTCATATTGCACAATGTGGTGAAATAATAAATACAACACGTGTAAAAAAGATCACTAGTAATTATTGAGAAGTATTTTACTAATCATTACTTTTGAGATCAGATATATTTATAATATTTAAAATACGACAGGTAAGTTAGTTGCGCATTTAATTAAATTTAATAATACAACATGCAATAGATATTTGAACCTTACAACTTTTTTTCATGACAATATCCGAATAATTTTTAGACCAAACGTTTTATCCAAAATAGACATAATCGATATTATCTTGCAAAACGGCGACGTTGTATGTCATCATTATATAAAGACCATAAAATTGAACATTTTAAATCATGTTTTTAAAGCTTTCAAATTAATTCATTATTTTGGTCGTACATGGTAGGATACCAAATAGTACCGATGTCAAGCTTTTACCTTTTTATGAGGTTCCAGAAAAATACATTTCTTTATACTCCTTAAAAACTGATTTTAGGCCCGATAAGATATCATACTTTGTTTTAATATATTTTTATAATTTCTCATAAATTTGAAGATATAATTAATAACTATGATATCTTATGATAACTATTAGTTATATATACGGTGTTTCAGATTCAACTAACAACGTTTATAACTTTTAATAAATTTGTTGAAATTTTTTTTTATAATTATTACTCTTTTAGACTACGTTTAAAGCTCATTTTTTTTATTTATCACTAATAAAAAATAATAAATTAAACGTATAATACATTTTTTTTTTTTTATGTAAATATTCTCTGATCGTATACCGACCATTTGTAATGCATATTCCGTTCGCATTCTAGATTTTCAAATGACAAGATGATTAATAAAATGTAGTTGTAATTCCAAAGATACCAATAAAAGTTCCTTATTATACTTCAACAAAAATATTATGATTTCATTATTTTTAAAAATCATACGTAACAAAGTTAATTATTTACATAATTATCAGTTGTTTGAATTGTTAAGCATTTATATTCAGTTTTTATTTTTTTAAATATAAAATTGTTATGCGTGTTCATTTTTGCTAATTTATACTCCTGTTACTTCATTAACTTATAACAGCTGTTTTGACAGAACTTGTAACAATATTTTTCTGCTTACAATTATGTTTGTATAATTAATGACAAATTTTTTTGGAATTTTCAGATGTATAATATACGTTAAATGTTTTTAATATATAGTTAACTATTGAAAAACCATGTTTGAAAATTATTAACGTCAATCGTTTATCCATTATATTGTAATAGCATAATCATGTGAAACTTAACGGCTATTAATAATTCTATTTTAACATTTTTTTAATTGAGAAAACTAGAGCTCGAAACACTTGATCAGGATGATTCTGACAAATGTTAATTGAGTTTCAATTTAAAAAGATTCAATTAAATTGAGTCCAATTGTTAAATAATTATACAAACATTCATTAAAATACATTAATTCATCGTAATATGAAAGCTCCTATTTATTTATTTTATGGATATTTTTTATATGCGAAGCACTAGCATTTTTATAAGAGTTATAACTAGCCTTCCAATTTGAGAAAGAACTTTCTCAAATGGAAAGTAAATTTAGTTCCAACAAAAATTATATTCTAATTTTTCTATGATATAATGCCAAAATGTCAGGAATACTAACTTACCTACTCAAAAATCTTTCAATAAAATAACCAAAAATCATAAATACTAAAATATACTGTATATTAATCTATAAACTTCATAGGTAACGAAACTCAATATTTACGCTTTACCTACTAAGAACCCAGTACCTAATTTTGACTTGGGCAATATAAATAATTTTTTTGCGATTTAGTTTACAATTCTTCGTTTTATGGTTACAGCGAACTAATTTAAAATTTCAGGTCAACTGACCTTTCTCGTCCATTAACGGACTCTGCATTGATTTTCTAAACAAATGAAATCTATTATCACAAATAAATATATACAGGGTGATCCCTGAAGGGATAAAAAAAGTTTATTTAACTTCATATTATTGTAGAGTTTTATAAACTTAATAATTTTTCTTTTTACAAAAATTTTAAATTCTCAATAGTTTCTGAGAAAATAAGTGTCTTACCAGATTCGATCATTCTGTATATTAACTAACATATCATAAAATTTATATTTTATTAATTTTTAAATCAAAATTACTAAAAAACACTAAATTTATAGATAGGAAAGTTTCATTGATTAATGTTATTATTTATATACTAATATTTAATGATAGTCCTACCTAGAATTTTTAATAGTATAAGTGAATAACTTATTGGAATGATGACCCCATTCCAAATTTAGGTTTTTTTCATAAGAAAAAAGTATTTAAAAATACTTTTTCAAACATGTTTACATCATTTAAATCATCTATTACCTTCTAAATTAATTGAATTTATTCATGATATAGTTAATTTTATTTTAACTTGAAATTGAGCCTTAGTTAAAAAATGATTTTTTTTTTTTGGGATTAATCTATTTTTATCGACATTTTTTTGAGTATCAAATATAACATATTTAATAAAAAAATATATTTTTGAATAGAATCACTATACTGAATAATAATTATGCTAATACTTGATCATAAAAATCACTTTTTGTTGAATAAAGTGTCAATTATTTGTATCAAAGCTTTTGTATAATTACATAAATTATATTAAAAATCTGTAATAAATTCTTTTCATAATCAAGGCCAGCATTATTACAGAAATTCAAATAAATATAATAATATTTATATAAAAAACTACGCATTTTGCAAAAAAAATTAATTTTTTCCAATAAGTAATTCAAAATATATTTTATTTTATCTGGGCTGTAAAAGTTGTTTGAAATTTCTATTATATTATAAAGTTAAAAATAGAAGTTCCAATATAAAAAAATTTTAAACAAGGATCCCTAAAGGGACGAATAAAAATTTATTCAACTACATATTATTGTTGAGTTTTTTGTACCTTACTTTTTTACTCTTTACAAAAATAAAAAATTCTCAATAGTTTTTGAGAAAATCAGTGTCTTACCAGATTTCAATCACTCTGTATATAAAAGCACATTCCTATGGAACTATGTTAATTCAGGCTTACCTTTGGATTACATATTTACAAAAATAAAAAATTCTCAATAGTTTTTGAGAAAATCAGTGTCTTACCAGATTTCAATCACTCTGTATACAAAAGCACATTCCTATGGAACTATGTTAATTCAGGCTTACCTTTGGATTACATATAATCAGGATCTAAGCGATCCATTCGGTCTTATTGAACTATTATAAAAAAAATCCTATTTTAGTAGAAAATTTAATTGAAAGATATATTAAGAAAACAGTAATTGTCCATTAATAAAAAAATTTTAAGGAAAGCAAAATAAAGATATAAATTCTTATCTTTTTAATGATAAAAAAATAGAAAATTAAATATAAGAATTATGATAAATAATTTTGACGTATGAATTTTATAATTTGATACTACAGTTAAAGTGTTACAAATCAAACGATAAAATTTAAAAAAAAAATTGGCCTTTTTCCATTCTTGCCTCGTATTCTTTAATTTTTTTAGATCAGACATTTTTCTACAAAGTCCATTGGTAAACGTTAATTTTTTTAAATATTGAAACCAAACTCGCGAAAATTTATTGAATATGATGAAGGATTCAAAAAGGTACACTTATGTGTTACCTATCATGGCAGTGATTTACTATTATTTGGCTATACTCAATCACTTCATTATAGTGAATTAGTATAGTGTTCTTTATTGCTGCCCAGTCAATTAACAAGTACATATGACTGAAGGAATTCAAAACTATTTTTCAGAAAAAATAAACATCATTTATCAAAATAGGGGTTTTTAAAAATATTAAAATAAGTTTGAACTTTAACTTGATTGAACGATAAACAATTGCCGATTATTGTTATAACATGACAATTTTGGGAGCGGCATTTTTTAAGACCTGTCTCACTTGTACTCAGTTCAAATAGCTTTTAATATGTAAATAATAACGATTGACAACAAGTCAATTAACAGAGATGATATTCATTTATAGTTTTATCGATTTTATTTAAAAATTTTCACTAATGAGTCACACTACTATGCAGAGAAAAAATAAATTAAGAACTGAAATATTCATCATCATATTTTCAATATTTTGACTTATCGATAAGCATTTTATTAACATTTTGGTGGACGTCACACATACATTTGTGTAAAAATATCTTCAATATGTATATCAATTGCTGGACTGATACTAAAATGGACAAATTTGCCGACTTTGGTAATTTAAATAAATATCATGGGGGCGTATTACCGCCTAAGATTCTGTCCTGTCTATGTTTAAAAAAATTAATGAAATTTAACCCCACTTCTGAAAATGTATTTTTTAGTTGTATCTAACCCCTACCATTAAATATTAAAAAACAATAGTGTCATTTAAATTTTTTAATAGAAATCATTAAATCGATACATAATGGGTAAAACGGGTTCTTCCAGTGTTTAGAAATGCCGACAATCAGTCTGATTAAATGAATTCCATTTAGTTTCGTTATAACACAGTTAAATACGATCATCAATAATCATATTATTTAATTAATCAAATACAAAAATCAATAAATATTACTTAATTGGACTGATAGTCGACACTGTTTGTAGTTAGAATCGAAAGAATTATCATTAATTAGTGTTCCATAAGAAATCCTGTGCGGTTTACTGCACACCGCTTTCCGCTCATATTTGCAAATCGGCAACAGGTGTCATCAGGTGTCTTCAGCGATCGGCTAGTTGGTCTTATTTTATCGCTGGTCCTAAGTGTATGTTTGTGCATACATAACTCATTTTAATTTATTATATTTTATTTATTCATTTCATTACACCTTACATCTAATTATTTATATAAGGACTGTGTACTGCGTGCGGAATGCCACACAAATCTGCCGTCAGAACTGATCAGGTAAAACCATACTGATGTCACCGTTGACCGTTTTCACTTGTCATGGTGTGTACCTAAAGTCTGTTGACATGTATGAAATTCATATCTTCATTGTTAAAATAAAATATCTTTTCATAGAAACACAACTGCTGCACAACGTAATATATAAAAATCCCTAACCCTGGGTTAACAATTGGTTGAAATTTATCCAAGTGGGGCGGTGGATACTCACAACCCTCTTGGTAGATCAGGTAGACTGAGATAACGGTCGTTAAAAAATATTTTATCGGTCATATTGAATTGGCGATTCTCGTGTGAAACATCTTCAAGTATTTCTTTACATCACAATTAAACTTAATTATTTTTGTCTGACTTAAATTTTTTTTTTTAAGTGAAATTTTTAGTTGTTTTCTTACATAAAGCTGTAATCTCATTTGGTTCATTAGTGTCCATTTAATATATATATTAATTATAACTGTTAAATTTTATTTTCAAAATGTACTCTTGTGATCATTGTCAAAAAACATTTTCTTTGCTGTCAAATCTTCGTCGTCATGAAAAAACTCACAGTGGTATACGTCATGCATGTCCATTATGTGAATCTGATTTTACTTATCCAGGAGATCTTAAAAAACATTTGACTCAGAAACACAAAAAATATTGTAAGAGTAAGTAAAGAGAAAATTATATTAGATATAATCAGTAAGCATATATTTTAAATTAATTATAATGTAAATTTTTAGTTGATTAATTTTTATTGAAATAAAAAAAAAAAAATAAAATAAAATTATTTTTTACTTGATTATAATTATGGTAATTCAAATACCATAAAACAATTCAATTATTCGTAAAATGAAAATAATTTTTGGGTGTTTCAACTTATAAAAATGATGTGTAACTTTTGGTTTTTATAACTTGTTAAAAATCTTATATGAATCTCAACTCTTATATTGTTAACTTGCATATTAAATTAATTTAAATTTTAGATAAATATTGAATAAAGAAAATTGCTTGTTCGATAGCAAATTTTGAAACATTATTTCAAAAACTACGAATAAAACAATGGGTACAGATGAACAAATGTTCGTTAAAATAAATAATTACAAAGAGCGCCTTGTCTCTAATTACACTTTAAAATTTTAATACTAAATAACGTTATTAAATCATTTTTTCACTAGACGACTTTCTAATGTAATCGTTAATCATTTCTAAAATATGCCTCATATGTTGTTATATTCCTACCAATGATTTTTTTGATACTTGTGTACGTATTGGTAGACAAAGATTAATATTATTAGCTTGCATTTTGTGAGCCTTATAAGTATTTGTGACCACAGGGACAAGGGGGCAATTGTAACCATTGTCTATATAGTGATGAAGGTTACTATGAATAGCTTATAAAATTTAGTATTGACATTTTTTTTGCTCAACGCTTCTTTATTTTAAAACAAGCAAGGCTATTATAATTGTTGTGTCACTTGACCATTAGTCTCCCAGTACGCTCCTATGTATAATATATTTTATTAATCACGTGTTAGTAAAATAATGTTGGAACCCGAATGCGACATTAAAATGAACGTAATATGTTCATCTTTTATTAAATGATACATAAAAATAAATTTTTGTTTTAAAAATAATTGAGTGATTTAAATTAATAACTTTAATAATCTTCAATTCAATTGCCATTTTATTATTTCGTAAAAAAATATTAATTTAAATATCCATTATATTTTAAGAGGTCAACAAACAGCCATTAGCTGAAAATCCGATTCTTCAACTAAATCAGCAAAGGCCTAGTGTTATTGTGCATACGTCCAATTACTACGATGATAATCAAACACTTGTAACGTCAACTTTGGGATACGAAGGTATTTTAATATATCTTATAAAATAAAATGTTTAAACATATTTAAGATCAATATATTTATAACGATAACACATTATTTTAGGGGATTGGCTAATTCCAACGATTAAACAGGAACCTGATGAATACAACCATTATTGGATACACGAATACGATGAGAATAATTGTTTTCAGATCGAATCCACCACTTACTTAAGCGAATATAACTAAGCACAGCATCTGTGAATATTATTTAAATTTCTTATTTCGATGAAAAAAATTTCCAAAAACCCGAGTTGTAAAGCGTGTGGTAGCTGAGGACTTCATTTTAAGTGCCATCACAGAAGAGGAATAAACAGACATTTCTATTATTGAACAACTTTAAACATTTGAAAAAGGGTCTAATGTGGCCTTTTAGGGTAGGCGTATTTAAATTTGCACGCAGAATGGCGCTTGTAACTGCTCCGACGAAAATTTTTTGAGACGAACATTATACCGTCTATTTAAACGAACTTCTTTTTGTAATTAATGTATAGTTAATAAAATATATCTAAAAAATAAGAACTATGTTTTTATTAAATGTTTTTATCATAATAATTTACGTATTCTATCAGTTGGTGTAAAGGCGCAACAATTTCTTTGGCAAATCTGTTAAAATTTCTCCCGTGCTTAAAAATATTTTTGTATAAATTTACATGCAATTTATATAAAAAAAATTGTAGGGGCAAAGCTCTCTCTAAGCCCCTTCAAATTATGAATCCTGAGGCGGATTTTCGGTATCTTACTGGGAGGGAAATGTAAGTTTTTACAAGTATTTAATAATCAGTGTTGGGAATAGAAAACTTAAAATTTATCTAGGGTAGATACAGATATTCGAATAAAAAGATATGCGAGATAAAATTATTTAAGTGAAAGATAATAATTTGTTTTCTATCTTAATAAAATACAGATATATTTTTTTAAATTTATAATTTAGTTTATAATAATAAATCAAATTTTTTTGTGCATTATCAAAAAATCATACATTTTTTATTAAAATTAACTGATTTTCCTTAGTACTAGAACATCATATCGTTTGAAATTTAATCAAATTTAACGTATTTTTGTGTACCACACGATTGAACAAAAGAAAAACGTTCAGGCGTCTTGTCTTCTATGAATAATCAATATCTTAAGCCAAAAATCATGTATTTTTTGGTAAATACATGAATTTGTTTTTAATTTTTTTCAAATATGTATCGAAACGCGTTTTACAATTTTGTACTGAAGTTAAAAATTAAGTAGGGCAAAAATATTGTAAATTTTAAAATCGCTATCCAACCCTTAAGAATGACCATTTTTTTTTCTTAATTTCAAATAGTTATCTTTCACAAATTGGAAAAAATTACAGGATAATAAATTCTATAAAACTAGGATTGATTTATTTTTAAATAAGTTATTGGTTGGGTTGGGAAAAAATGTTGAAAATATCAAAAAAAAATGTACCCCCTAAATAATAAATAATAGACAAAAATACGTAAAAAAACATAATGATTTGGTTGTAAAATTTATCAAAAGCGATTTATTTTTATATTGTTGTTAAGACATATTGACTTCCAATAATCATCACAATCTTTTTCATTTATTGTGTATTTATGATTTGTATATTAATAGCTACAAGCAATTTATTTTGATTTATTAATAAACATAGATTTGCTTGAAAAATATTTTTAATACTTTTTTTTTTTTTTGAGGAAGAATTAATAGTATTATGGCGAATATATATACAAATGAACCCCCTCCTTCATAACGTAATGTAGGGCGGCAAATTTTTAAATGCATTTAGGCGGAAAAGATGTGAATACGCCATATGTAAATATGTGATATACAAATAGTTTTATTATTATAATATAAATTAAATATATTTTATATTATACATTATATTCGTGTATATAATTTTTAAACAGATAACAACTGATTAAAAATTTGTATTCCATTGCAATTGGTAGGGCTATTAATAAATCGATAGGATTCCCATACAAAATTAGTATTTTGACTTTATATTACATTATATTTGATTTCTTGTTATATTTAATTGATGTTAATCATATAATATATTATAAAAATTTACAAGCGGTGTTGAATTTAAGGAAAAATATATACATAAATGATATCTCGGCTAAAAGAATGGATATGATTTTATAAAAAGAAAATAATGACTTACAATTCACGCATACATGACTTCGTATAATAAGTATATTAAACTGTAATTACGCTAATGTTAGTACTAATAACTCATTATATTTTACGATGACATGATAAAACCAATGTTAAGTGAATTAAAAAAATTAATGTAGTAAATAGTTTTTTGAAATTTGTATTAAATGCTTTACAAACTTACATTGACAAAAAAAGTTATCTCAAAATCACATATATTAGCACATGCTTGTTAGCATTAAAGCCTTTATTCACTGTAATAACATGCCTGTGCACACGTTACAGTTAGACATTCAACAGAGTTTTGATGTTTAAACTTTTAGTTGTTAGTATGCTCAGAAAAATTTTTCAAATTTCTCTCATAAATATTCTAAAAAAATTATTTAATACCTATTAATACATAATGAGTCTTTATTAAGGACTCATTTTTTTTATAATAGTTTTGGATATTAAGTTTTATAATTGTTTTCGTCATCTTACTTCATTGGTGGCTAAAGATTATTATTTTCAGGAAACTCACATTTTACTGCTTAGTAGATGAATGAGGCGATTGAAAAATTTTGTTTTACTAGGCTATATATTGTAGTAGTTTTCATGCAAATTTCAGATTTTAAATCTATTTTAGGAAAAGTAATGGAAGCTTAACTTTGCTATCTTATCCCGCCTTATGCTATTACCGATAGTATCATTTTTCGCGAAAATTTTTTATCTAACTATAGAATGTGCATCATTACAAAAATTTTCATTTTTGAATTTTTTAGGATGTCTTATTTTTAAAACTTTTGTCAGAGCCGGACTAAGATTGATATGATTCTCACATTCTGTAAGTGGTCTAAATAATACTACACCTCTGGTGTAGTATTGTTTTTTAAAAACTGATAAAAATAATCAAATAATATTAAAATTTAATAATACTACTATAAAACACAGATCTATAAAAAAAGCATTAACTAATGGAAAGGACTCTTCCCTAGAAGGGCCTACTGTGATATTCAAAGTATCAAGGAGAATTAGTAAACAAATAAGGGGCTATTTACAAACTGTTACAAAAAAAATTGTTTTTTTTATAAGTATATTTTATTGAGTAAAATACAAATATTTACAACTTAAAGCAATATTTTTAATGAAAAAGATTTTATACATTTAAAAAAATACTTAATTATTATATAAGAATATAAAAATAAATTTTGAAGTATTATGGAAATATTTTTTAAAACGAGATCAGAGTAATACCAAAAATAATAAAATGTTTCGTTTTATTCGAAGATGAATTTTAACAAAACTGTAATTATATTTAAAATATGTTTTTATCAATGAAGTTTGACAATAGAAATGTATTACCACAGTGTAATAAAACATTTTTTTGAGTTTAAACATTTATAAAAAACTAATTTCGATTAATTAATCTAAATTAATATCATTTAACTAAAACCCAAAATTGGAAGGAACAACAAAAAAATTTTTTTTATCCAAGTCTTAATTGCATTTATCCGAGCAATATAATATTACTAATAAAACATGTATTGGTGGTAATTTAAGCGTAAAATTATAACTATTATCAAGTGTTCTATTAAAAATAATTTTTAATTTTACTTAGATAAATAATATATATTGAGATAAAATACAAAATTTGGCAGTGTTAATATAAATGGCTTTTTTACCTTTTGATGTAGCAAAATGTCAAATGAATTCATAAAAGCTAAAAAAATAAATAAGAGACTAGACTTTTAAACTAATAAGAAATAAATAATTAATTTACTTTATTCAGTTGCTCGGATAATGATGAAAAGTAACAATATTATTTTACAATTTAAAATTATTGTCTAATAATTATGCACTAAATTAATTTATCTCACTACATACATAATGTTCCAAAAAAATCAATTAATCATGTATGCCAAAAAAGCATATAAATAATTTTCTAAATTGTTTTACCATGTTCTCATATATAAAATGTACTTTTCTATCAACAATTTATTTCAGTATAAATAAAAATAAAAATGTAGAAGTACTAAAATTTAAAATTAATAATGAAACAAAAACATTATAATTAAATTATTTTATAAACAATAACATTGTTAATACTAAGTATATTTAATTACTTTGGTGCATGTATAAAAATATAAAAATTGTGAATAAATTGGACGGCATAATCATTTTAACCCTGTTTAAAATTACACTTTTTAGAAAGAACTTTTAAAAAAGTTTAGTCATTAATTATTGCTTAAAATCTTTCTTTTGATGCAGCAAAGTCAGTGTCTTGTAATAATTGTAGTTCTTGAAGCTCTTCAAATTTTTCATGATCTCTTATATGAGCATAATTAGCTGATAGGCACATCAAATAATGAACCTAATATTTAATAAATTACAAAGTAAATTAATAAAAATATCAATTTTAATTTGAGAAATAAAAATTAAATTTACCAAACTAATAATAATTAATACAACTCCAAGGGTACCCATTATAAACATGAATTCTGCTTTCTCAACAAAATCTCTACAAAAGAATTTTATTTCTCTAGGTTCACAAATTTTTAAATAATCGATACGTGTTGATTGAGGAAACATAAAATCTAAAAAATATTTGTTTGAACAAAAACAATTTTTTTTTTTCAAATGTTAATTGGATTTATTTAACTTATACAACAAATGCATAACATCATTTAATTCATACTTACAAAATTGTTTCAAATCGATACATTGATGCTGATCTTGTACTGGAGAGCTAGCACATAATTGCCAAAAAACTGTCATTAAAAATGTTAAAATTGTAAGAAATCCAAATATAGTAACCCAGAAAAATTGTAGCAAATAAATAATACCCATAAACTGCAAAAATTAAATTTTATTAAAATATACAATTATAATTATTGAATTACTTTCTTTTATTTAGCAAAGTTTTTTACTCACAACTGCACAAGATATACGCCCTCCAACTCTATTACGCCATGCTTTGTAAACTCGTCGACGAGTTGCGCCTGTCGCCAAGAACCCAACAAAAATTATCATTAACGTCAAGGCACCCATTAAAGCGGCTATTAATACTAAAACAGTTTTTACTGTTTCTAACCTGAAAAAATAAATAATTAAGAAAATTTTATTGATTGGATGATTTTCCTTACATAATATATTGTGATTTTAATTATTGAGCTAAGTGATATTTTAGAAATATTTACTCACCATCCAATATATAGATGAAATACTTGGTCCAATACTAATGCACTCAATGTAGCTCCTCGATACATAGTTCCACAAAATATACCGATACCAGTGCAACATAAAAGAGCTGCAATCAAAGTAGCATATGGAATTCTTGTGGTCCATGCAACTGAATCACTTGCTAAAAATAGAAATAGTATTTTTATAAAATAATAAATTTCAATTGTTTTTGAAAATACTTCTTTCAATTTATAGTTTAATACATACAAGCAGCATCTCCAGCTCTTATTTTATAACTTGAATGTAAAGAATACTCTGAATAACGTCCCAGAGTTTCCCTCGAAGGATTATAGTGTGAATTTTGAAGTGGTGTCTCCATTTCAGGCCTTTGGAAATTGTATTTACTCATTGCTTATATTCTATAAAGATTTCATTTATAAAATGTTAATAATATAAATAAAATTTTAAATCACATATCAGATCAAGGAACAGGTTCCAAATTTTTGGTTTTTTAAGGAGGCACAAAATACTATTCTATAAGTTAATTTTTATCATAATTTAATAATTTTCTATAATAAATTGTATATTAGATGATGATTCAATTAAATTAATTGAATTAATTGAATTAATATTAAAATTTATTTTTATATTTTAACTTAATAATCCAATAAAATTTTCAAATTGATCCCTTTTGTTGTGAATACTTGGTTATTTTTATATTATATAATATTTTTATATTTGGTTGGGGGAGGTACATTATTGATAAATATAAGATGTTCAAAATAACATAACTTCCATTATAGTCAAACGGACCATTTACTAACATTTTAAATTCATACAATAAGTGTATTGCAATAAAATACAAGATAGCCTTATAAGGAACAAGGAATGGGTCAAAAATTGAGAAATAAAAACTACAAAAAAAGTCAACTTTTATACTACAAATCCATGAAAAATTATTCTATTTAAAATTATAATCATGGTTGTAATTAATGTATTAAAAGTTGATTTTCGTGGCTTGCTAATAAATAGTATTTCTACGAAAATTAACATACTAAAATCTGTTAATATAATTTTCTTCTAAATACTTAAACTACAATTTAATGATACAGAATTTATATGTTCTTTAATTTCAATATTATACGCAAAGATTTTAAAGTATTGCAACATGCGGGGTAACATACCTCTGAGTAAAAATAAAAACTGAAAAATAATTTATATTAATAAAATTGTATATAAGCACTGTATAAAATTAATTTGTATCATTTAAATTTATAGAACATACACAAAATTTGATGTTCAATTAATGAATAAATAACATAACTATTTAAACCCTTGATAAAATAGAAAAATTCAAACGATTTTTATAAATTGCACAACTTAGCACATAAAAAAATATCTTAAGATTAGTCAGTAGAAATTATCATTAATTATTTGTTTTTGTTGAAAGAAAACAAGTGGGCTGGGCAAAACAATATCTTTAAAAATACAGTATAACCAACTTTAAATATATTCAATATAAATTAAATGTTGGTAATATATCTGTATCGTACAACAGGTACTATAATATCACAGATAAGATAAAGTTTTATCTAGTATGGTATAGTAGTTACAATTAACTCTGTGGCTAGGGTATAAGAGTACTTCTACGTCTCCTCTGCCAGTCGTATTAGACGACCAATGAGTTTGCGTTAGGTCAACTGCGGGCGTAAAATTTTGTCAAAAATTATGAGAAGTCCTAAACAAATTTAGGCGGATTGTCCCATCTCGAATGTACGTGGGGACAACAAGTGAGAGGAAATAAAATAGTTAGAAATGGAAAAGACTTGACAAATGAAGCGTTTGATACCAGTCAGACAACTTGTGCGGTAGTTGTGTTCACTAGTCATGTGTACAGGTCCATTCAACGCTTGTAGTGTCAACGGTGTAGGGACATCATCGCCCAGCTCTAGGCCAGACTCGTGTATAAAGGAGAAAGATAGATACAAAGTAAGAATAAGTACGTGGAATGTTGGAACATTAGAAAAGTTAACATTTGTTGTGTGCAAAAAACTAAGTAGAAGGGAAAAAAGCAAGGGAAATAGGTGAGGGTAATACAATAATATACTCAGGTAAGTATAATACAAAGAATATTGTAGGGATAATAATGGATGAGGAGATGAAAAATAATGTAATAAAAGTATCTAGGAAAGGTGACAAAATTATAGTCGTAATATTAATTTTCGAAGAAAAAATGTTGAATGTAGTATCTATGTATCACAAGTAGAATGTGATGAAATAGACAAGGAAGCGTTTTGGTGAGAGATGGGTGAGGTGATGCAAGGAATACCTTGTAATGAGGATGTGATGATAGGCGGACATGTAGGTAATGAGTGTAGAGGATATGAAGAGTACATAGAAGGTATGGTTATAGTGGCAAGAATGAGGCTGGAAAAAGAATACTGGATTTCGTAGTATTGTATGATCTTGCTGTGGTTAATACTTATTTTAGAAAGGGGGAAGAACATTATATAACTTATAAGAATGGGAGTAATCAATCACAGATTGATTATTTTATGTTGAAGAGAGAGAGCGTAAAGCGAGTAAAGGATTGTAAGTTATCCCCGTCGAGAGTGTAACTTCACATCATAGTTTATTGATAATGGACTTGTGATGTAGTGGGAAGAGAATATACAAAAACAGAAAGAACACAGTAGGAAAATCGAGGATCTGATGGTGAAAATTGAAAGGAGAAAATAATAGTTTTTGAAGACGATAAAGGGAAGGACGATGTAGAATATCGAGAGAGACAAATGATGTGTGGAATAGATGTACTAGTTGTGTAAAGAATACTGCAAAGGAGATAGTTGGCGAGAGTAGGAGTAGAATGCTAGGAAACAAGGAAATCTAAATCACATTTCTGTAAGTATGATGGCTTATGACTTTGTCATTGGCGTGATCCATGATAGCTACTTTAAGCTGTTTGCGTATTCGTTCAACGGATTAGCAGTGGGATACTAACTGGTAGTAAGCTGGAATATGAAGCCAAAACGTTTTGATAGTCTTCAAAGTAGCTGAAGCAAACTGGGTTGGCGTCGGGTGAATATCGCCGTCCCCCGTAACACGGGAGACTCCTCGTCTCCCAAGTGTGGGTTCCTTAGGCTCAGATCACACTCCCTTTGCTTATTCCTTATTTCCTGCTCTTCCGGCTCTAGGCTATTTAATGATGAGTAGCCTCGGCCTACCTTCCTTTTCCACTGGGTAGAAGCCGCCTCAACCAAGGCGACCCGTGTAACTATGAGGTGCGCGGGCCGTATTTTCTGAAAATAGCTGAAGCAAACTGAGTGCCCCTGTTGGTTGTGATGTTTTGATGTACATCGAAGCAATAAATCCATCAATTGAGAGTTATCAAATATATATCATCGTCTCCCGCAATATACACTTCCAATCATCATGTAAAACAGTTGATAGCTGGTCTCGCTACAGTCATAAAGAATTTACCTTTTATCCTCATTGAAATTTTCTTATCACATAACATACCAGACGCTTTTTACCATTTAATTCTGTGACATATATCTTCAAGAGCTGATCTTTACACCTTTAGCCTTTGATTAATTTTCTTCCTTTTTTTCTTAATAACACTATATCATCAGTAAATAATTTGCACCACAGTACCTCTACTTGTATTTCTTTAGTAATTTCCTTCTGTTATTTCTCCCATATTTTTTACTTTGGTACAAGATCATCATACATATCTTCTATTATATTAATGTACCTTTTCAGGACTCCTTTTCTCATTAATGCCCACTTTAGAACCTCTCTCGGCACTATTATACGCTTTATCCAAATCTATAAATACCATACTCACCTTTTTCTTCTTTTCCCTAAACTTTTCTATTAGTTGCCTCACACAAAATAATGGCTCCATTGTTGACTTACCAGGCATAAATCCAAACTGGTTTTTAGATATTGATGTCTCATTTATTATTCTCTTATCTATTACTTTTTCCCAAATTTTCATGCTATGACTCATAAACTTTATGCCTCTATAATTTCCACACTCTGTATGTTACCTTTACTTTTACATATCGGCATCACAATACTATTTCTCCATTTTTTGGAATTTTCCCTTCTAATAAAATTTTATTTAAAAGTTCCCCTTTAACCACCTTATGTCAACACTGCCTAATATTTTCCATACTCTACTGGAACTTCATCTGGTTCTATTGCTTTATTATTTTTCATTGATGTCACATACCTCTTTTTCACTAATCTAATCTAATTTAAATCCTCAGTCTTCAGTTCTACGAGATATCCTCCAATGTCTCTCTTGGATACTCCTTATTCAGTATTTTTTTCAAAATACTCTTTCACCTTTTTTCACATCATTGCTCACTAACACCCTCTTGTCATCACTTTTTGTACACCTTACATTGTGATCAATTTTAGACAGTTTTTTTTATCACTTTGGCACTTTACATTCTAATTTAAAAAATATTTTATGAACAAAAAAGATTATTAACTCATTCAAGCTGTCATCCAGATGATCAAATAATAGGAAACAAAAAATGTTTACTCGACAAACATTAATGTCACCTAGTTTATTAGTTAAAATATTGTCTGTTCCTTGTTAAGGTAAAAATACTTTTAATTAAAAAAACACTCATCATACTTGAAAATAATGAATAATTTTATTTGTTACCTATATAAACAGAACAACTGAATTTGTTTAACAGCTTAAAATTAAATAGTTGGTGACCAAATAGGACACTATCACAATTCATATTTTTAGAATATAAACTCAGTCTTATAAAATTATAATCATAATATGATACTAGTTATTTAACTTGAAAATATGCTTTTTAATAAGTAACAGAACTATCAACAAATACTGCAACAACTGTTTTTTTTCTTTAAATTATAAGTGCTCTCATTAGCTAAATTTAACGAAATATCTAGACTTGTTTCTCTAGTAGTTTGTAATAAATTACTAGATCTAGCTACATAATGAGAGTACTCATAATCCCATTTCTTTGCTCCTTCTAGCTGTAACTTTTTAGCTGGACCATCAATTGCTGATGCACACTGTTTGGAACAGGCCCAATGCTGAAATGGTACACAAGTATTACCTAAGTATGGATTTTGAAATGTCACAGTACTGTAACCTGTTCAAAAACATATGTTCAATAATTATTCAATTCCCATTATATTTGTAATTTTCTTTACCTGGTATTGAACAGTTTGTTGCAACATTACAAAAATTACAAATATTATAATTTAAATATACTAAAGACATGTAATGTTTTAAAGATTCAGGAATTTCTTCAATGAAAAAATTTAGACCACTAGAAAATACTTTTTCCACACAAATATCTAATAATGATGGTATTAATGGTCTAGGATTAGATTCTTTAATCCAGTTATTTTTCCAAATATCTTTATGCGCTCTGAAAATTTTTAATGTAGATAATTTTATTTGTATTATTATTTTTGAAATTTAAATTTATGTGTTAATTATAAATTTCTAAATATCAAAGAGTGTATACATTTTAATATATACAGGGTGTTCAGTAAGTAAGGAAATAATGTTGTTAAAATACTGAAAATAATAGAAACCAGTTTCCTTACTTACTGAAGATCCTATGTAGAAAATCCCACTGGGATTTACTAATGAGAATATTTCCTAGATACTCAAATTAGTAAATCACGGTAGGACTCTATAATATATAGTATTCTACCGTGATTATATATATATATATATAAATATACAAATAAATTCATAAGTTATGTACCGGTGATCATAATCAGTGTGGTACCACAAGAAAAATGATTTAAAGTAGTTACGATTGCCAAGCCTATAAACTTTTTCTAGATGTGTCATACTAGTTATAAAACCTGGTAATGCTTCTAACTGGTTGTGATCGACATATAATTCACGAAGTTTAGTACAAAATGTTAGACTAAAAGGTATTGATTGAACAGTCAGTAAATTGTCAGTCAATACAAGGACTTCCAAATTAGTTAGTCTACCGATAGTACTTGGTATTTGACGCAAATAATTATGCTTTAACGATAATATTTTAACATTTTTACAGTAAAATAGCTAAAAATAAAAATATATTTAAAATAATTAATGAAAGATGATAGATATTTTAAGTATAAATAATTACTTCAAATGGAAGTTTACTATTATCTCCACTTGTCAATATATTGTCTAAATGTAATTCGATAAGATTGTATTTATTTAAATACCTAGATAATGGTGTTGAGTATGGTATATTTAATGATGTTTGATACTTATCCAATTCAGTTTTTAAAAAGGTTAACAAGCGTAAAGGATAGTTTTCTATCATATCAATAATATAATTTGTGTCATCTGGCAGGCAATTATTAGACTGAAAAAAATTTGCATACTATGTTAGTAGTGAGAATAAATTGTTACTTACAAAAACAATATTTTGTATTCTTTATATAACTTATTATAATATGCACAATGTGTTGTATTACATATCTTACATATATAAATGAAAATTTTATAGCCTATTAATTGTATACAAACAAACAATTTATTTGTCATAACATCTACACTGTTGTATACTAAATTTAACTATTTCATGTGTCAACTTAATCATTGTTAACTATGCATCTCAATATAATAACCATGAAATGTCTATTTGAAACACAATAAACAAAGACTTAATAAGAATGTTGATAAAATATCATAAGGTTGATGATGTCATATAAAAGCACTAGATTCCACACAAAACTAATTTTGATTATTACAAATCCCTTTTAGCTGTGTACTGTTATTTTCAACAGTAATATTAGTGAATTATTTACAAGTTAATCATTTGCTTCCAAAGCTTTATTTATTTTTATTAAAAAAATTGAAAGTGTGTGTCAAATCTGTTAACAGAATACAATATTTTAGGACACTAGCAGAGACTTTTGAAGTTGAGTCAAATCAATTATAAAGAGATACAAAGTAAGCAAATTTTCATTACCCAAATTATTAGCATTAATTACATGAGTATAGCAAAATAAATCAATAATTCAAATATACATATAACCTACTATCATTAAGAAGTTATAATAATAATAACCACTCAGTAATATGAATAAAAATTTATTTTTCAAACCAACTAATTTTTTCAGTGAAATATATGAACATGTGAATTTATTAAAAAAAAAAATTAATAGAGCAGCATTAATTAATAATTGGTTAGAAATTTATATACTATATTTATTACAGCTTCAACTTTTTATGATAATATTGAATTAAAGAAAAAGTTTAGAAAAATCTTTATGTAATAGAAATAATAGTACAATGTCAGAGGAAAAATTAGTAACAAAAATTTTAAAACAAAGTATTTTTGATAACTGTAATTTAGGTGAGCTAAAAATAAATATTTAAAAGACACCAAACCATTTCGTTTCTTCAGTGTTTTATTAAAAGTGCCTACTAGTTTATTTATACTTCCACCTCAAAAAGAGGACCATTAATTTTATATCCTTCAATTTCCTAAACTTAACATGTAACAGAGGGTGGTGACCCTATTTTACATATTAGGAAGTCAAAGCTAGTTCTTAGCTAGGCTAATAATGGACAGAACAGGTATTATAACTGGCTAGAACTAGAGATCAGACACCACCAATGAGTAAATCACAAGAAAAATATTGTGTGCAGAAATATACCGACTGCCTTTCAAAGTGGACTGTTATTTGTTTTTATTTATATCTATTATTTTTATTTTTCTATACTTCAAACTCAATACCTTGATAGAACCACTATGTAATGAAATGCCCCAGTTCAACTTATAATTCTGGTTATTTCATATTATAAAATATTACAACACCTATATCATAATAGTTATAATATATAACAATATAGAAAAGGAACTACAATTTTTGGTAAAAAAAAAAAAAAATGTTTGTTTAAATTCCGTGATCATAAAACGAATGTTTTAATTTTAGATATCTGAAGAAACTTTGGTCAGAAGATGATTAAACAGAAATTTTTTTATTAGAATTTGTATTTACTACGTTTTCCATGAAAAAACAAAAAATGAATTTTTTTGAATTAAGTATCTATCTTTACCAAGTTAACTACTCAATTTGAATTAACTAGTGTTAGAAAAATCTTCAAAGATAATTTTTATAAGAATTGTAAGTATATGAATATTACATGTATAACATAATATGTTTAATATTTATGCAGAATTATGTTATAATTTAGCTATTATTTTAATATCATTTGTATTACTAATTTTTAGTTACATAATAAAATAATTTTAATGAATAATGGACATATGAAGGAATTAATACTGAAATAAGAATTTTGTTCAAACTTTCTTTTTGGTGAACTAGTAATAAAATTGTTTAAAATATTTACTTGTTTTATAATTTGTGAACATTGAATATGTCCTTCATTAGAGCGTAATGCAGCTCTTATTTTGCGTTTGATCTGGAAATATATAAAGGTAAATTAGAATAATTAAAATTATTTTATAGAAATAGATTTAAAAATTTAATTATATACTAGCAATGTAAAAATAGGTAAATTGACTGAATTGCTAACTATTTTAAGAATCAATTATTTTAAATACACCACAAGTTTGATAGATATAACTTTCCCTACTTACAAATAAAGACATAAAGTGTAGTAAAATGGATGAAAACTTTAAAGCATTTTGAATTGAAATAATTCATGGATTAAGTTTTTATTTTTATATTGTTAAAAATATGTAGCCACTATCAGAAAATAATTTTTTGAAGGAATGACATTGACAGAAATAAATATAAATGGATTGGTAAAAGAAGCAAGAATATGGAGAGGAGTGAGACAAGGATGCTCTTTGTCACTTTATCTATTTAATCGTTTCATTGAAATGAGCATAAAAATTACAAAGACAAAATGAATAGACAAGAAAAAAAATGAGCAAGTGCTAGAAAAAGTACAAGAAGAAAGACAGATGATGAAGGTCATTGAGTCAAGAAAAATAAAGTTAATTGAACACATTATCCGACACAATAACTTTGTAATTTTAAAAATAACTATGAAGAAACCAAGAGAATGCCAAGGAAACAATATTTTGAACATATTCTGGAATTTATGAACTGTGCATCTTATGTTTCACTGAAGACTTTGGCGTTAAACAGTGAAGAGGTGGCATCAACAACATGACATTGCCTTTAAAAGATGATAATGAAGATGTTGGCTATAATTTAATAAGATATTTTATTACCTTTATTAGTTTTTAATATACCTTATTTATAACCATAACAAAATGTCGAGAATACCACAATTTAGGATGTACTACTAACATTGAGTCATATAAATATTTGAATACGTACCAAACAATTAGGCCGAGAATACACAAGAATATCAGCTTTATTATTTTCTGAACAGGGCGAATACTGTAATTTGTAAATGGACATTATGCCATCAGATGACAACAAATATGTTAATAATTCATGCCATACACTTGTCTTATTACACATTTTCACCATGTCAAGAAGACTACACTCTCTATTGTAGAATACAGAGGTAAACTTTTTGATCATTTGATATTCATAATTGTTAAATTTGGAATCCATTATTATTATTCAGTAGTTAATTTATCAATACTTAATAAATTAATGATTCTTGATGTATACAACTTAATAATAATTTATGCAATATTTGAAAGTATTTTAAATCAAAATTTTTATTTAAAAAGCGGCACGGCACAAATCAAACGTTCCATAGCCGCATGATTAATGTCAGGTTATTAATGAACTACATGATTTAAAAAGTAACGGTATTTGTACGGCCATCACCTTAAAAAAATTTGCAAATTGAAAAAAAATTAAAAAAAAAAAATGTGCCACACGAACACTAGAAAATAAAAACTGCTAGATTACATTAAATTAATGAAATAATTTTCTTCAAATACTCCTGATCAATAATGGAAATATTAAATGGAACAACGTTAACGAAACTATATAATTTTGAAAATTACTAAAAAACTAGGAGTAGATTAGAAATAAACATAAATAAATTAAAATTTAACTCCAGGATAACTAATAGTAACAGTCGGTTGTGATAACCGTTTATAAGTATATATTTATATATGTAAATATGATAAGCAAGTTTTAGATTAGAGATAATAGCATTATCTTCTTTGTGTAAATCTTAAAAATTTTAATTTTTTCATCGAATTAAAAAAATGTTATTTCAATATAAAAATTCAATTTTTATATGCAATACTCCAGACAATAAATTTTCAATAAACAATTTTTCTTGAAAGTCCGATTAGTAACAAAAGTAAATATGAAGTTTAAATATAGCTAGAAAGTTTTTTCTAATAACGCTCTGAAAATCCTGACTGAATAAAATTTTAAATGTTATGTTTTAAATAATAAAAACATTTGTCAGTTTATAAAAAATTAATATACACGTATATATGAGGAATTAAATTTAAAATGTTTAAATTATCTTCCTTTATAATTTAAAAAAGTTTGGATTGCCGGCCGACCTCCTTTAAATTTCTATTTGAAGTTACCCATGTGGTCTCGTCAATTCCCTACCACCACAATCACAATTAACGATGATACACCGGCCATGTGATTACCAACGGTGCGCCTTACTCGACTGCTTAAAACATTCAGCTGCAAATTTCTACTACATGTCTAATTACATTGACCGTATTATACTCCTCACTGAGGTCTGTTATAATATAACGGATATATTATATCCGTCTACAGATTTTTATTATTGTCTTTTCACATACGTAGTATAATGTATTTAAAAAGGCAATAACACAGCGCGTTTCATAATATACAGAGTTTTTGCCCTGTCTTTTGATTAATAATCGCAAGTGATTACTACGTGTTGTACAAGGCCTATACGTATTTTTACGGCAATTTAGTTGAGCGTTTAGCTTCGTTCACAAATAAACTGAATTAATTATTATTACTAATGCAGTTTTTTTAAATTAATATTTGGTTTAATATGAGTAATAAAATCAATTATTACAACAAATTATTATTAAAAACAATTAAACGTGTATGATTTTAACAAATTGAAAATTGTGTCGATATCCAATGTCATTTATTAATAAACACTACCATTTTTTTTTAATAGATTATTTTTCGACGATATTTATTAATGATATACAATATGTTCAGTAAGTAAGGATACAGGTTAATTGTTATAAATAGAGCTCGGATGTTTATGACTTTATATGCATATATTGATTATTTCTAGAAATAGTAGCATATATTTTATAATTTGCATTAAAAATATTAAAAATTTGTTTTTGATGAAGATCTGTAGAATACTATGAACAATAAGTAAAATTACTTTTGGAATTTAGATATTTATAAATTCGATAATCGATATTAATATATATGTATATACAGTAAAACACCTAAGATGTTTCATGTAACTTGCCTAGCTCATGCTTTACATTGAGTAGCTGAGCAAATCCGTAGTGATTTTCCGTTAGTTGACAAACTTATTTCGTCCGTCAAAAAAGTCTTCCTTAAATGTCCAGCAAGAATACAAATATTTAAAGATGAGGCACATGAGCTAAGTTTGCTCCCACAACCAATTATAACGCGTCGAAGGACATGGTTGACGGCGACTATTTATTACTGCGACTCATATGAAATAATTCAAAAAATTATAGACAAATTTGATCTAAGTGATGCTTTGTCTATAAAAACAGCTCAAGAAGTTATGACTGAACGAAGAGTTGAGGTCAATTTAACTTTTATAAAATCAAATTTTTCGTTCTTATCTTCAGCTCTAACATCTCTAGAAAAAAAGGGGAAAACTTTATACAAATCGGTTGCTATTATAAACACCGTTTCAGAAAAATTAGAAATTGCAGCATCAGCTTCTCAAGGTAAAACAATATACACAAAATTTCAAAAAGTTTTGGACAAAAATTCTGGATATAAAGTATTGTCCAAAATTTCTAAGATATTAGATGGGGAAACAGAATCACTTGAAGGACTACCTGAAGAAACCAACAACATTTCTTAATTTAAGCACGCACCAATTAACTCTGTGGATGTGGAGCGGTCATTTTCAACTTATAAAAACATATTGTCAGATCGTCGAAGGTCGTTCAAATTTGGAAACATCAGCAAAATTATCGTTATTCAGTGTAATCCTGATATTTAAAGTACATTTATAATTTTTTTTTTCATATTAAATATGCGTGTTTTGTAATAAAATAATTTTAATTGATTTACATTAAAAAGGTATAAAAAATTTTTCGAATTAATATTAACCTCTTTTTTTTTTTGCATATAGTTATTGAAAAATTGGTATATTTAATATATTTTAAGGCATATAATTGCATATTTTTACATTTTTAAATGCATATTTTAATTAAATTTTGGTCATAAACATCCGAGCTCTAGTTATAAACAATAAGAACAAATTCTCCCTAGGTGGGATGTTGTGCTGTGTCACACCCTTCTACTAGTCAAAATTGAATTGTTTTAGTCAGCAATTTTTAATGTAGGACACAACGCTGTCAAAAAATAATTATTAAAAAGAATTATCCAATCGGCCAAAATAAATTTGTTCACCTTCCTATTCATATTTTTAGTCTCGGGACGACCTACACACAATGCATTTTCCACAAAATTCTTATTAATTACATTAAATTTTCAAAATTTGATCTATTATTGTAATCATAAAATGTTAATTATAATATTTCAGCGCGATTATATAATTTCCAAATTTCTTAGATTAATATTAATTACGTAATTAACAAAAAACTATTAATTATAGAACAATTATTAGATTGAACTAAAATTTTTTTTAGTTCAATTTTTATTTTTATTCAGTTCTTATTTTTAAGTTAATCATTGTGTTAATTATGCAACCTTAATTTTTTACTAATATTATGTATTTATACTTAAGTTTTCTATCTTTATCTGTGTTATATATTTTACTAAAAAAAATTATAAGTACAATTTTCTATTCAACACAAATTTAATTGATTAATATGATTGTTTCATCATGCAGACTAAAAATATAAAGACATTATATTAAAATTAATACCTTGTCAGCTTGACATCGAGGCTACAAAGTATTTTTTAGTTATTCTCGTTGATAAAAAATTATTTTTTGCGATTAGAATAATCTTTTTGGTATTTTTCGATAACTTGTAGAATTTGTTGTTTGTCTGTAGTAAGACATTATTGAGCCAGTCATCAAATCTACTCCTATTTCAGCAGGATCCTTTACGAAGTATTAATATTTTAATTTATTATAGCCATCAATGTAAATTTTATTTTGGGTCCAATTTTCTGAGTCATAATTTAAAAAATCAACTTCAAACAACAAAGAAAATGCTTACAATGCCTACATCATGTATAATACAATTAATTTCACTATACTCCTTCAATTTAGTTAATAAATTTAAATCGTTCTGAGGTGTTCTTGTCTATATTAGAAAACAACTTGTCAATTAACATTGTATACAAATTTTTAAAATTAATAAATTAAACTTACTACGATAGAAATTATGACATTTTTGAAAAAGTATAGCTTACCGGGCTCTCTTTTTAAAATTTTTTTTTTAACATGTATTTATGAATGTTTTTTTCGAAACTGTTTGAAAAAGTTACGGAAACAAACGGTTCAAAAATTAGAGTATTTTGAAGTCGCAGAGTCAACAAATCAAAAATATAATAAAATTATTGAATATTACAGATTTTCCCCGAAAAAAAAATACAAAACCGAGCGCGATACTGAATGATGTTTGTTTGTTCAAGTTATGGGTTAAAAACTAATTTTCATCCTCATTTTTGAAAATTCAACCACTCTGCACAGGAAATAATTATTTGATCTTCACGAAACTTCACAAAATTTATTTTTATAACACATAGAACAATTATAGGGGGCGTCCTGGTAAGAAAAATAACATACAAAATTAAGAAACATCCAAGTTACATTGTAACTTATACAAAAAAAAATTATTTAACAGCATTGAGATGAAATATCAGCATTTGAATTCGATAATAACGATTATTTTTTTAATAAAATTATAAAAGAACATTTTTTAAACTTAACCCAGATTTTTAACAATAATAATTTTTTTGTTAGATTCAAATGGAGGGGAATAATACTTATGCCCGAAAGGGTAACTGCCCCCGTTTCTGTCGCCACTAGGGATATAACTACATTAGTTTAATTATTTTTAATCACAAATTTGAAACAAAAATTAGAAAGTTCTTACTCCAATAGACATTGTATAATAGAGCCTTTTGGTTAAAAAAACCATCGAGTATTAAAGAATATATTGCAAGTATTTAAGATTTTTAGATAACTATTGTAGACAACATAATTAAAAAAAGAAAGTAATAAAATGCAGTAAATATGATAAAAACATATATTTCATTTTATTTTTAACATGAAAATAATATAATTATTTATAATAATTTTATAACAAAACAGATTAACATTGTTTTAATTTAAATAACTAAGCTTTCTCTAGCTGGCGCTATACCACAGATCCGGGGCCCTTCTAACCATCCTTACAGGAAGGCCATTGATTTCGGTAGGAGTACCCAGCTGCACTGGGCATGATAAGTGTTGTGCAGGAAAATATTACTCCAGAAGTGGTTTAACAGAAAAGTAATCCACACTTGTAAATTAAATAATAATTAAAAAAGTAATAACTATAAAATACTTAAGTATACTTACAATTATATTTCATAATAACCTACTAATTATTACTAAGCACAACGGATAGACGAAAGTAAACTTAATAATCATTAAAAACAATCTATAAATGCCGAGTTATTAGTGAAAACTACATAAACATAAATTTTAAACAAAATTGACATGTGCAAAGAAATATCATATCTTATTAAGAACTATGGGTGAACTTAGAAAAAAAAAGGCTCATAAATCGGTCAAAAATAAACAAATATTTAGGGTACCTTTGGTATGTCTCTGGACAGGCCTGGAAAAACGCAGGAGGCAATTAGCATTTTGACCAAAATTTTTAAATGCTCATTGATTGCTAAAAACTTTTTTCTTATCTTCGCTAATAATTTTCCTAGATTAATGTCGCTTTCATATAAAAAATAAATTTTGAATATCGGTCATCTTTAACAAATTTTTATAGCATAGGATAATTTTCCAATGTTTTATTATACAGGGTGTTCAGTAATATATGATGCTGTACAAATAAATAAAAGTTCTATTGTGATTAAATTTTTATTTAGAGATTATAAATTTATTTGTTTAATTCTTTACTTATAAGAATCTTAAATAATTTATATTTTAGCTTTTGTATTACAAAATTTTTTTTGGATTTTTGAAAAAACATTAATGTTCATCTTAATCTGCTTAATTAATCAAATAATATATGACATACTACAGGTTTGATTTTAAATTAGCTAGTAGTAAATGAACAATTTGCATTTACATAATAATGATCGTCAATATTAAACATAATTTTCTGTAATTAATTTTATTTGTATAGCATCTAAATTTATATTATTTATATTTATGTCAATATTTTATTCAACATAAATGTGCCTCAATTCAGGTTTCATGTCTGAAAGTATAATTATAAAAGTTGTGAATATAGAATTGTTTATTTTTTAGAATTAAATTTAAAGCTATACTTCATTCAATAAATTATATAGTAAAGTATAGTATGTTAAAGTAAAGCATAATTGAACATTTTACAGTTTTTTTATGGGTTTTAGTTCTATAGATGTCTGTCTTATTAATTTTAATAATGAAATACAGTAAAATTGAAACTGTAATATAACTGAATACTTACGGCTAAATAAGGTGAGATTCTAAGTCACTGACTACATTAATACATTCATTATGATTTTCAGTGGTTAACAAAAAATTAGGTGAAGTTATGTTTAACAATTCTGTTGATTTTGATGAAGGCAAATTTACAGTAATTGGTAATGCTATTGTATTTAGTACATTATCTGAGTTCAAGTTATCAAAACATTGGTTTTCATTATGTTGATGAATTTTTAAATGTTTTTTCATGGCAGTAATCAAGTTAAATAGCTTTCCACACACATTGCAGGCATAATTTTTTTCACTAGAATGAGAATAACTGTGTGTTTTAAGCGCTGTCATTTTGGTGAACCATTTATTACAAATAGTACATTGATATCTATAATCAAGACCATGTGTGCGTTCATGTATATGCAATCGTTGTTTTGAGCTAAAACGTTTTATACAATATTGACAGCAATATTGCAAAGCTCTACTACCTTTAGGTTTACAGTAATGATTAACAGAGTTATCATTTGTTAATTTGTCACACTGCTGACATTGTTTGCTATGATAATATATTTTATGCATTGTCAATCGTGATTTATACAAAAAAAATCGATTGCACATATTACATTGAACTTTGCCATAGTTATCACCTGCAAATGCTAGCGCCTAAAAAATAATTTTTATAAGCCAATTTGTAGGAAAAATAGTTTTAATTAGTACCCATATTACAAAGTAATATGAAATAATGTCAATTACTTTTTCTTTTGGAGTGTGTTTATTAACATGATTCTTCAGTTCTTCTTTATTGGCATACACAGTTTTGCAATAAATACATGAAAATGTTTTTTGAATATACTGAACTCTTTGATGTATTCTAGCTATATGACTTTTTAATGTTGTCTTAGTTTTAAAAAATTGATGGCAAATATCACAACATACAGGATCTGATAATTTATGATAAGTGGAATGATTATTTAAATGCTCTTGAGTAGGAAATGAACGAGGACATTCTGGACATTTTATTGGGCATGATCCATGAGTTTCCACATGCATTTTAAACCTTCGTCTAAACATTTTGAAATTTCAACTTAGAAAAATAAATATTAAGATGTACAAGAAGGTGTAGCAATAACTCAATAGGAATTTTCTTTTTTGTGGCAATAATTCACTCTACATAGTTTTAACATTATTCAAAAATATTATAAATTGTACATATTTTTAAACTTAGTACTATAGTGATGACCTGTCAAAATAATGATATTTTAAGAAAAAGTTAATTGAGTCATTTTAAAATTTCTTGTAAAATTTTTGTGTTTTAAGGTCAAGTTTTAATATGGAGAAGTATCCTAAGAAAGTAAAAATGTTTTAGAACCAAATTAAGACTAACGCTCATCTGTCTTATTTTCAATTGAAAAGCCTGAGAGCGTGTTTTCAAAAATCCTAAATTCTTAAAAAATGGCTGAAATATCATCATGACAATGTGCCAGCTTATTCAACAATTTTTGTTAACAATCAAAGAATTATTGGCATAGAAAAAATGGCATTGCTCTCCAATCACTCAACAATCTAATTTTGGCACTGGTGAACTTCCGGCTATTTTTGTTCATGAAAAAATCTACTAAAAGTACTCACCATGATGATTTGGAAGACATTCATAGAATGGTAACACATGTTTTGAAGAACCTTATATCCTACGGTTTCTAGAAGTGCTGGAACAATTGTATCTGACTTGAGGGAGTGAACTGTGAAGGTATAGGTATTTGAAATGTTATACGATTAATAAAAATTGTAGTTAAAAATTTTAGTATCTTAATTGCCACACCTTGCATATTAAAGATAAAACTTATTTATTTAAACTTACGCATTAATGAATACCTTGTTGCATTTAGGGCAAATTTTCATACGTTCTTCAATTGGTAAATGGGTTTTTATATGAACTTGTAAAGCTAAATGTGAGCTTAACCATAAATCACATATAGTGCATTTTTGACGTTCTTTTTGAATATCTTCGGGTTTTTTTTTCACAAGTAATTCTTTATGATGTTGTCGAATGTGTTTTCTTAATCCAAAACCATTGATAAATTGTAAATTACAAGTGTTACAGCAAAATTTTTCTTTATTTTTATGATGTTTATAATGTAAATTTAAACTTTTATGTGTTTTAAGATGTCGACCACATAAATGACAAATAAATCCATCGGGTGATGGTTTTTGATGTTCTTTTTCATGATTGTAAAGTTGGTCACGCGGAGTAATGAGTTCTCCACAATATCTGCAAGGCCTTGGATGATAGAACCTGAAATAAAATTATAATTTTAATATTTGTTTTAACAAAACAACCATCTTAAGTAAAATAATTTACATTACCGAACATGTGCAATCAATAATTGTCTACTATCTAATTTTAAACCACATTTTTTGCATATCCAACCTTTTTTCATTGATTTTCTTTTTATTAATATTTCAGCTGCTTTTATTCTTATTTCATCATTTATTTGATTAGTATAATCATCATTTATAGGATCTGTTCTAATACTATTTTTAGGTAATACTACTCTCTCAAGGCATGATGGTAAAATGGTTAAAGGAACAACTTTGGAATTATTATTTTGACATTGTTTATTCATAGTAACTTTGATAACTTCAAGTATTTGATCAATCGTATTTTGACTATATTTTAACTGTGATTCACTAACATGGATTTCATGAACCCATTCTTTGCCATGACATATAATATAATTTGCTAAAAATTCAATTTCAATTATTTTATTTTTGTCAGTAATGTTGCTTGGCTTCTTTGATTCAACACAAGAAACTTTGTTATTTTTGCCTGGTATTAGAATTTTGATTTTATGTTTTCGAGATTCCTTAAATAATAACACAAAATATAATATGTAAAAAAGTGTGATAGTTATTAAAAATTACTTTTTGAATAAAATTACTAGCTCTAGAAGAATTTATACTTAGTTTTGATTGATTTGGATAAGATTTTGATTCTTCATCACTATTATCACTAAGCTCAATTATTGGAATATTTTCTTTTGTCTGGAGACAATTAATGGACATATTAGTTAGGGCAATAAAAAAAATCGCCCTATAGTGAAGAAAGTTAATTCAATATAATAATTTTTTTATTGAGGTTTAAAATAATAACTAATACAATAAATCATTTGTTGATAGTCATTTTATAACTAATTATGCTATATATTTCTATTTACTTTGGATTTGTTAAGTAATGAAGAAATGAATTTATAATAATAAACTTAAAAATAATTATATTAGACTAGTAAATTTTAAACTGAAATTTTTGTTCTAATATGAAATTTGGCATATAAATGAATTAGTTTAATAATAGAAAACAATTAATCTATTTATTTTTTTAGTATATCAGTAACATAGAAAATTTGTCTATTAAAGATACTCACTCTACTTACAAAAGAGGATTTAAATATTTTATCACTTTTTTTACATCTTTCAAAAACATCTTCAAATTGAGTTAACTTTAATAAACATTCTACACATATATATAATGGTTTAGTATCATTTACATTTACCTAGAAAATAATTAAATATATTTTGTGAGGTTTAAGGGTATGTAATTCTATATACTGTACCTTAATAGGTAATAATTTGTTAATTAGTGTTTCTAATTTTAAACTTGTATTACATTTACTATAGATATTCAAGGCTTGTACTGATACACTTGTACAAATTCTACATTGGATAAATTTGCTACATAATAATTCTACACCAGTATTTTTTAAGTTTCTTAACCAATTATAATCTAAAGTTTGTGTAAGGGCAGAATTTTTTATTAACTTTAATGCAACACATTTTTTATCTAGAATTATACAGTGAAGTTTTGTTAGTTTTATACTAAACTAAGTAGATGATAACTATGATAACTACTTTTGTTACTTGTCTTTTCTAGAATATTGTTTGTTATGTTCAAGACCATTCCACCATCAAACGATGTAAAATGTTTCGAACACACCATATGAGTCCTGTGCAAATTTTGTAAATCATTAATAGGAAGTTGTATTTCTTCCACCCATTCTCTACATCTGAAATATCAAATATTGTAAGTTATAAATTCAATTAATTTTTCACAAAAGATAAACTTACAGTGTAACATTACTAGGAAAAGTATAAAATGGTAAAGTACGATTACCCTCTCGAGTGGCTCCACATGTAGGTACGCAACACTTTACATCGTCAGAAAAACTAATTTGAGAACCACCCGCGCAGAGTCTTAAAGCCATGTCAAATATGTTGTTAAAAATTCATTGAGCATTGATTAAAAGAAAATTTTTAAATATATTTAATCGCTACATGTTTAAATGAGCAAATTTCAAAAAAATTAAGTAGTTCTATTTACATTATTAGGTTTGAATGACAAAAAAAAAACAAATGAATTGTTAAAAAATATAATTGTAAATTTAAAAGACAAATTACATTAACAATATTTTTATCATGAATTTAACTTAACATTATAAGGAGAGTACGTTATCAAGAATGGTTATGTGGTCACATGTTTTATGGATAATATTATTATCTATAATTATATATATAATAATATCTGATTTTTAATTTATCAATTATTATTGATATTATTTATATTTATAATCAAAGATGGGTAAGTTAATAGAAATAATTAACTTAAGTTAAATATGAACAATATCGATAAATTAACAGTTAAAAGTTATTAAATTATAACTGGCTAAATTAAAAGATAAGTTTATTTCATTTAAAATTAATTTTTTGGCTAAAGTCTCTTAAAATCATTTATTATTGATCAATGATTCAAGGAAAACTAAAAATTGATTTTCAACTTTTAAAATTGAATAGGAAGAAAGTAATAATGATAACAAAAATTATTTTATTCGTCTTGTACATTTTGGTGTTAGTTGCATTGTTCTATATTTAAAACTAGTTATCAAAAAAAAAAAAAAATAGTTAAAAATCACATTCATTTTTTAGCTTCGATGCGAAGCTGAGAAGGTATTAATTTTACTATAATGTGTTTTTTTTATTTTAGTTACGATGCGAAGCTGAGAAGGTATCAGTTTTACTATGATGTGTTTTTTTTTGTCAGTTACCACTTTTTCTCAGCTCTCACCGAACCGATTTCAACCACTTCAATAATTTTTAATTTATACCACAAATTTAATAAGAGTAGCCCTGTTACAAATTATGATCTATTTTTTTCTCTACAATTCATCAAATTTGCTTTATTATGAATTTATTTTTAGCTCTTTAATAAGCTTGTCCTATTATAATATTTATCAAAAATAAAACATTATTAAAAAAATTATGATACAAAATATATTGTTTCTACATAAAATATTAACGTTTTCCAATTTTCATATCTAATTTATATACAAAACTAGTTAAAAAACTTTTTTTTTATCACAATATACCTTTAAAAAACTAAAATTTAATTCGGTTAAAATATAGTAGTTCATCCGGAAAATTTTTAAAAATTGTCATAATTTTTTACTTTGTTCAATATCATCTTGTACATCGGGTTTGTATCAAATTTTCAAAAAAACTTTTACCCAAGACAGCAGAAACTTAAATACGACCTGTTCAGTTATGTAATTGTCTAATATAATTAATTAATACGGATTCAATAAATTTTATTTATGCAGTCTTAAGGTTTCTTATACTATTGCTAAAAATAATTTTTTTTTTTTATGACAATAATAGTTTCTTTACCTTCATTGTACATTTTTAAAGTATTTTATTTATGTTAATCAAAAATTATCTATTAATTTTTTGTAATCAATTATTTAAATTATATAATTCTGGCTTAAAATAAAAATACAAAATAATAACTTTTAAAAACAACTAATTACAATATTAAAAAACAATGGGGTTTGTGTTTTGTTTTTAATTAAACAGGTACATTGTCTAAAACATAGTTAGTCCGTAAAAATAGTTTTCACTGAAAAATTTATTAAAATGACCACAAAAAAAAATGATACTACTGATCTTAACTACGACATGAATTACAATTTGTTTTTATTAAAAACGTCTATGCAAAATCTGAAATCGCCTCAAGGTAATGTATTAAAACTTTTGAATATATTCTGTGAATTATGAAATTTTTTTAATTAAGTATTTTTGTAGATAAGTATAATGTAAATCTATGGCTTCAAAAGTTATTGGCTAGCAACAAAACGACAGCCGAGATGAGGCTTCGAAATGATTTTATGTACCATTTAGTAACTGCAGTGCAGGACGGCGAATTACGTCCGCCATTTACTCATTATCCACCAAGCCAACCTTTAAGCGATCTCGCTTACCTGTTGACAGGAGGAGCACCAGATTTAAGTGAAAAGGACTCCAAAAAAGGTAGTGGTGCTTGGGAATGCGAATTGTCCAGTGAGGAGACTGATAAACCTATGCTATACAGACAATCTCCTGATGGTGGAGCTTTTTTAGCTGCCCAACCTATACCGAAATGTGGAGCTTTCTGTTACTTAGCAGTGGTAAGCAAACCACCCAAGAAAGAAGATGACCCAAAGCTTTGATCTAACTTCTGAGTATAGTAAAAATGTTTTACTAAATAAAAACACCAACATATTTAAAACTTACATATTTTTTTTTTGAAGATAAGTAAGGGGTGGTTAAATTACTAAAATATTCAATTTTAATTTATTTTTTAATATTGGGTAGTTGTTTTAAGTATTTTACCTAATATTACCTAATATTCTTAAACATTTTTTATTTATTCCATAAACTTTGGGGGTAATATTTTAAAAGCGATATGGTTTCCCCTCTCTAAAAATAATTATTATATTAAAATACAAATAATTTTGTTAAATTTCTTGAGGACTAAGCCCTTATTCTATGCCAATGATTTATCCTGACTTTTTTTTAGATAAAAAAATTGGTGGCAGTCATAAATTGTAATCATGCTTTAGCAATGGTTTATCAGAGGATAAAATAATATATCTTAATAGCAGGAAATGGAAAGAACGAATAGTAAATATCGAGCTATTCGATACTTGATTACTATTCGAACTATTAGATAATTATTTAATAACTATTTGAATAATATTAATTTTTAAAATTACGAATTTATAGTTTAATGATTTATAGAGCCTTTTTTTGATTGACAAAATAGAATTAACGTTAATTAATTTATAGTAAAATAAAATCGTAGCTCTTTTTTGACATTTATATATTATTATTAAATTTAAAAATAGTTGAAGCCTGATTTTATTCTTCCATGAAACATGTTTGCATTAAAATAACAAACACTTTCGGTTGAACTTTGTTTTTGTAATTTTTACTTTTAAGTATGTAATATTTTACTTTACCGGAAATAATTAATAAAAATAGTATCATTAAAAATATTTTCCCTTACGACGAAAAGTAAGTTCTCATGTATCTGTATCTTACATAGTGTGTTGATTTAAATGCTTGTTTATCAGTACAAATTATTGACACTAATCTTTTCAATTTTCCAAATATTTTATTGTGACTTACAATTGATGTCTATATAAGATAAATAGTGTATTGTTAAGTAACTATAATTAATTTGAAAAGTCATTCATATTAGAGCAAATATGATTAAAAATCTAAGTTATATAAACATTTTATTTAAAAAAAGTATTCTAAATAAATTAATATTGTAATTATTCCAAATTTATTCTCAATTCAGAATTATTCATTAGTGAATAAAGAAAGGCAGTATTAAATAATATTATGTATGAATATTTTAAATTATAGTAGAACTATAGCAATAATTAAGATTTTGTAAAACTATGAATTTGTTCGGCGTTTTATTTTTATGAAATACTTTTGCATGAATATAAATTTAAATCCAGTCGTAAATTTTTTTCAAAATCATATTTTAACGGTTCTAAATTTAGAAAATATTAAAACGACAAATCCGTCTATCTAAGAAAAAAATATTTACAATGAATAATTTAAAAAATTTAAAAGAGTTTAAATTTGCTGGTAGGTAAGGATATATGTTACATAAGTCTAGTTTTTACAGCTTCCTGAAAAATTTTTAAAAATAGAGTTATCTTGTTTTTGCATAGAACCTTTCATAACATGTTATAACTGTTATATGCTTTTCACAATCAGTTTTAAAATAGGTCAAAGATTTTTCTTTTAAAAGTTTTACGTTAAATAAAATTTTAAATCAGCCTATTACAAAATAAAAATACGAAATAATATTGTAACATACCATTTAAAATATAGGTTTCAACACTTGAAGCGTCTTTCTTTATTTTTTTAAGTACAGAATTATTTTTGTGTGAATATTAAGTGTAAAGTTACTTCGAATACTACCTACATAACATATATTATATCTGTCCTTAAATATTAGTAAATTTCTCGGATAATTTACTAATCATATTAATATAAATATTATATATATATATATATATCATATCACGTAATGTATCATATAAAATGATATGTAAGATTATTGATTAGATTTGTTTCTTTTAAACTTCCTTTACATAAAAAACAGTATCATAAGTTTAGAAGTATATTTTTTTCAAAATAAAGTTCATTATATAACCTCAAATTTTAATAAATTTAAAAGTGGCAGATTTTCTGGAACATTTTCAAAAAATAAAAAAGTAATAGTATTATTGATATTCACAAATAAATGTTTACAATCCCCGTCATAGTAAAAATAATACTTATTCAGCTTCGCATCGAATCTAAAATTCCCTACTTCATTATACTGGCTCCCAACTATACATATTCGTTTTTTTTTAGCTTCAATGTGAAGTTGAAAAGGTATTAGATTTATGATGATGTGATTTTTTTGCCTGTCTATGAAAATACTCAGCTTTCACTGAGCCGATTTTAATAATTAATACGTTAATAAAATCTGATTTTAATCTAGTTAAACCAACTAGCGCCAAAAATTTGAATTAACCTCCAATTTTAGACAAACTGTGCAAATTAGGGTAGCGACATAATTGGGTTAAGTATAGATGATATCTTATGGTGATTAACATCACTATCATAAAGAACGCTTTGATGCAAACCTGTTAAATTTTACAGTCATTTGTAATTTATTTCTATGTTTTTAATTTTCACTAAAATATTAAATGCTTTATAATTACTTGTTTAATTAAAAATAGGTAATAAAATTTTTTTTTTTATTTAAATGTAAATTTTTTAAACTTTGACAGCTGATTTCTTATAGTAGAACGATTGTCAGGAAGTGTTTTTATTTTTTATCATGATATGTTCTTATAAGTTTTAATCTGATATAGGTCTGAAAAAGCAGATGTCCCGGAATATTATCAAAAATTAAAAATATCTTTTTTATAAATTGTGATTTTTCATAGTAGAATTATCCTTGGGACAGTCATTTTTTTAATATTGTAATTCAAAGAAAATTGTTTAGGGTAACATAATTTTGATATATTTTTATAAAATTCTAAAATTAATGGAGGTTTAAATATTTTTGGTGAGAGATTCAACTAGATTGAAGTTGGAATCTTTTGTCGCATTAATCAGAAAAATCATTCCATTGAAAGCTGAGAATTTTCATGGACAGAAAATATTTTTATTTTATTTTGAAAGTTTGATTGGTAAGGAAACAAAAGATTGGATTTTTTATACAATTTTATTTAGACAAATCCTCCGAATAAACAGTTGATATGTTATTGAAATATAGTATTGTGCCAATTTTTTTTTTTTAATATGAGCACGATTAAGTTACACACTAAGCTTATGGTTATTTTTAAACGCCAAAATATGGTATGTTGTCGTCATGCATTCATGCAATTTAAGTTGAGAAAAGAAATAGAACACTAACGATCCAAAGACTATATTTGAACGACTAAGCCAAATGTAAATATTAGATAAGAAATATATATAATATCCTATTGTTGCCAGGAATATGACTCTATCAGATTATGTTAGAGACCAATAGAAAAACAATATTTTCATATCATGTATAATATAGTTGTGAATGAATAAGATTTTATAAATAAACACTGATGCAATTATTGGGAGATATGAGTGTCTTATTCCCTATTACAAAAATAATTATATGACGAGGATACAATTTTTTCGATTGGATCAGGAAATAACAACATTATCAATTGTAATAAATAATATAAATGCAATCAATTACAGTTAAATCACTAAATCATAAAGTCAATATGAGAAATTGTATGACATTTTGTAAATGTTATTAACATATGACCATTTTGTTAAACATTTTGGAGGGTTATATTTATCATATTATATGATAAAAAGTATAGATTTTTATTTAAATTGGCGTATACCATGTAAGTAATGTTCTGTAGGTCACTGGCTTCTTATTACAATAAATATCTAAGCATTTGTGTAATGAATTGAACATGATTAAGATCTAGGAGACTTAATTTTTGATTAGAAAAAAAGACAGAATAGTCGATTTATATTATAAAAAACGATGTAAGTTTTAAGGTGATGTTAATTAAACAAAAAACGTAAGAACGTAAGACAAAAAAAAAAAATAAGAAAAACCTGTCTGAGAGAGAGGGAGAGCTCATAAATTATTATTTTTTAATTTTTTAGTTTATGTTTTTTGTATAGTTCAGAATAATATAACAGTTTGGTATATTAATGAAGTGGTGCACTGTACAGGTTAGCAGATAATTCAATATGACAAGTCAGTATGACTGGTAAATTTGTTTCGGACACACAGTTGTTAACTGTTTGATAGTTATCTTGAAACCGCTCGTGTGCCAACCAGTACCGCCTGACGACATCTATTAATCGTTAAAAAACATGTAAGACAAAAAATGAAATAAAATAGGTATTAAAAATATATAGTTATATATTTATTTAACATATATGTTTAATAATCATTAAGTAGAGTATATTTCATTTTATGTTATCTTTTACATCATATAACTGCTATTAATAATAATATAATATATCATCAATCTTCCATTATAAAGTGAAAATTAACTTTATTTTTTTTTGGATCATTTCTTACGGTATGATACTGATTGCTTTGTTATAAAATGTTTGTATAATCTATATTAGTATTCACACATACATTTTTACAGATTGCGATATGTATTGTCGAGAGTAGTACTAGTATTATATCTGGACCGCCTTTTATATCTAACATACAAGTAAAAAAAAAATGTAAATTATTTGATTAATATTTGTTTATGCATAAGAAAAAATGCGGAAGTGATTACTTCATCGAGTAATCCCGCAACATATAATCTTTTGCCCGGAATAAGTTAAAAAATGTATGTTATTTTGTTAGTGCGTCAGTGTTATATGCTAACCTCGTGACAAAGAGCGATTTAACTTAATTTCCAATTTATTGATTGAACACATAAGCAATATTAACAAAGGTAAATAATAAATTATCGCATTATAAATATTTATAATTATGTGCAGTTGCTGTAACTTAATTACTTAAAAATACTCGTGCGTAAAATTGATTTTTTGTGTAAATACTTTTGTTGTCATTATAAGTTATATCGGAGCTCAGAAAAAGATGGCGTCAAAAAAATAGTAGGCTCGCAGGCAATCAGGTGCAGGCGTATTATTATTGTGTAGCCATACGATTTTGGCAAGTCGTATTTGACAGCAGGACGAGTTGAAAGGTCACATTATATGGCTCGCCAAAGTAGAAGTGGAGCAGCTTATATTTCGGCTAGAAAAGGTGTTAAAGATATGAAACGACTCTGAGAAAGTGGAGGCTTAAGTAGATTTAAGTGACAATAATGAGGTTACTTCGAGCAGTGCTGCGTCCTAACATTACGGAGCTATTTTGATACAATCTCGCGCCGAATCGCTTAAAATCGTATCGCTACCGCGACTGGAATTTGTTAACAATTGTGGTGTTATTCGCACGTTTGGCGAAAAAGTTAAATATTTACAATTATTTTTATTGGTCGTATTCTACAGTGGTGCCACTGTGAGTAACATCGTCGTTGGCGAGAAACTTTTATGGCGCACAGAATAAGGGAAATCCACTAGCTCACGTCCATTGTTCAATGGCATCACTTGCGAATCAAGGACAATCTGTCGGGTTTAGTTTTGGAGATATAAGTACTCCGCAATAAGGAAGTTTAAAAATATGGTGGGCGAGTCCCA